TTGCCTGATCGTACGCTACGTTGGCCGTCTCATCACTCAATTTACAGACCTCGTAATAGGTAGAGGACGGTCAACACCTCGCTATTATTTGCCAGTAACGTTTCACTACTTTTAACTGTTGCTGTTAGTGTTTAAATAAATTTCTTCATTTAAAAAAATCCTATAAATATTTTATACCCAAACTTTTAAGACATACATTATTGCCTTGACTCATCAACACCAAGGACGACGCACTAGGGATTTACTCTAGCGTAGGTTTCAGGGAATTGCCTGCATTTTTTCAGATCAAGGAGCTTAATTACACCATGTTATCAGATTTATGAACTGCCTCAGGTTAGCAGAACCGGAAATAGTCTCCTCACGCAGAAGTTTCCGATTGTTGAAGCTATAACAAATTTTCTTCCCTACGCCACTGCTTTCGGATGTGCCAATCGTTAATTTTAGGGACCGTCTACCTGCCTACGTCACGAATCCGTTTGTTGACTATCCAGTGTAGGAGTTTCTCCACTTCGGGACTTACGTGTCCACGTTAATTTAACAGAATCGATTTTTAACTTCGTACTCTTTTATAGATCGTTTTGTATTCTTCGCCGCCCTGAAAACTGGACTTCGTTTGCAAGGGCTACTGCTGTCGAATAATCCAGAAACATAGACGTGCAGCTTTTCCAGGGTGCCTTTTCAAAAACAACTGCGTGATATGATGTGCTGCAAAAAGCGAAGATATAGAAAAATTAAAATATCCGTTCAATTCTGTTCTATAAGGTGTCGCTGTCCAAATCAAATACACAAGTTTGTTAGGTTATTCCTCAATTGGATATATAGTATTTGGGGTGCTCTCGAGATCTTCTAATGTGTCCACCTCGTCGCTCCTTCAAACGGCCTTTGTACAAGATGAAACGCTCAGAACAACAATCTGAGACATCAGCACTTTGAAGGCACTCACCCTAAACTAACATATTTTTTTTTTGCTTTGCCACATGTAATTTATAAACAAACCGCTCGGTTTCACCATTGATTAACGTAAGATAGCCAAACTAGCACTATACTGGCGTGTCCGAAAAATTATCGGAGATAAAATGAAATACCATAGCGTCATCTGTGAGTATTTGACATAGTTTGTCTCCTCTGCAATAATTATAAATCTACTTTAAAAAGGTTAGTGTCTCGTAGCTGGCGATGTACCCCACTATATCTGAGCTATAGCACCATCTACGAGACGCTGACTGACCTGGCTTCTGGTTGTATTGCCCTATTTATCATTTTTTTCCTTCTGGTTACACCCGAAACCAGGTTTGATGGGCATACGTTTTCATTTCGGTGTTTTCGATTCACTGTTTGGGCTTGATGAAGCCGACAAGCAGAAACGTACGTCGCTCGGGTTACCAATCATAGTATTTCTGCTCCTGTTCCTTCATTGCCGATATGCTCACGATTGTCCTTTGTTTTTTATATAAGTTTTTGAAAGACTGGTTGTCTTTCTTTGTATCATACATATATATTACAATTTCGATAAAAACTATCAAACAGTACCAGAAACAAAGGCGTGAGAGAAGGCACCTCTTACTCATGCCAAAAGCTACTGGTAAAAAACGGAGCGCGTGCTGGAATTTATGGGACAAGGCCAAACACTGAGATCTCGATAAGTCTAGGCAATATTGCAACAATATTTCAGGCTGAAGTAACTGCCATAGAAGTCTGTGCAAAAGAGCTAATAAGAAATGAGACTGCAAATGAGTCGATCGCCATCTACTCGGTCAGCCAGACAGCCATAAAGGCATTCGCATCGCAAATATCTTCTAAACTAGTACGGGATTGCGTGAGCACTCTCAAAGAGCTGGGAAACCGACACAAGGTGACATTCCTCTGGGTACAGGACATAAAGGGCATAAAGGAAACGAAAAGGCGGATGGGCTAGCCCGACGGGGTGCGGCCAATCACCTTATAGGTCCAGAACCTTTCTGTGGCGTGACGAAAACACGCACCAAACAGTCCATAAGAAATTGGACCAAGCATGGTGGATCAGCCAATTAGGGCAAAGGCAGGCAAAATAGTTCATCAAAGAACTAAAGCTCGCTTTTACAGACGACCTACTCGGACTCAGTAGGAAGGCCATAGGAGCCATTTGGGTATTCACACTATCGTACTAATCGACATATGAGACTCTTGGATCTTGAGAAAGAGGCCACATGCCGTTTCTGATGAGAGCATAAGGAAACCCCAGTACATCTCCTGTGTGACTGTGAAGGCCTGGCAAGACTACGGTTTCAGAAAATAGGAACCACAAGTCCAACAGCGGAAAGCTACATGCAAGGCCCTGTGTTGAGGCTTTGGTGTCTGATCAAAGAATCAAGGCTCGACACAGTGCTTTAATAATTATATGGGGGGGTCACAATAGATCCACTTGGGTCGTAGTGACGTTAGGGCTGGCAAGCCAACCCCTCACTTCTGTAATCTGTATATATGTTACATTGCCTGCACTGGTAAGCCTGAATCATGCTACTTATTAACACGTCTAGAGTAGCGACCGCTCGATGATGAATGTTCATGTTCAGTCTGACTGGATTATCAGGCCAGTCGGCACCACTTGTGCGTATCTCCACGGTCCAGGGTCGGCCTCCCGCCCACTGGTAATACATACGTTTTTTTTTTAATAAACATAGTAATAATAATAATAATGTTCTATTTTCCCATCATATACACACACATGAGAAACAAAATCATGGTATTGGGAAAACCTCAAGGGGGAGTTCACCTAGAGGTGTTCTTCCACTCAACCCTTGCCAGTAGGAGAATACATGTAAGGAAAATATTCTAACCCAACACTAACCAAAAAACACATATAGGGTCACCTGAATTAAACTTGGAAGTTGTAATAATTTAATTGGTCATAAAGTAATCGGAAACTAGTTCCTTAAATTTATGTGGATTGCACGATTTAAGATAATAAGGAAGAGAATTATAATATTTAGCAATTGTAAATTTGAAGCTTCTTTCAAAAAGAACTGTCCTGTGAGATGGTATATTAATTAGGTGCTTAAGTCTCGTGTCAAGATTATGGACATCTGCGCGAAATGGCACCGTTTGGTAGAGATAGGGGGGGTTCTTATAATACAGTATCTTGTGAAATAAGCAGAGAGCATATAAGCGCAATCTTTTCTCCATGTTTAGCCAATTCAATTCCCTGAATTTGTGGGAAACGCGCTCATACTTTTTAATCCCGTATATGAATCGAATGCTCGAGTTCTATACACGTTGAATACAATTAACACTGTTTTGATCTAAACATAGACCAAATACAGGTGCACAGTATATAAATTGTGAAAGTACTAGCGTATCGCACAATATTTTCTTAGTGTCTGTTGATAAATATGATATATGGGGATATAGTTTTAGCGATGCGTATGCTCTCTGTATGCATTTCGTTATGTGATCCCTGAACCTTAGATGCTGATCAATGAGTAAGCGCAGATTCTTTGCCTTACCTGTAATTTCAATGACCGTATTACTAACATCTAATTTCAAGTTTGATTCCAAAAACAACATCACACCTGAATTTCCAATTTCGAGTACAATAGTCAATACCAAATACATAAGTATTAACCAGAAGAGTCAAGTCTTCATTCTTGTTACCTGAAAGTTACAATATCACAAGGCGAAATAGATAGAGTCCACGCCAATGATCATATACTGTAGGCTACTTGCCGTGTATAGAAAGTTCATTAAACTCTCCAAGTATGTCTACTTTATATTTTATTACTCAATATTATGATAAATACTTACGTCAACTGACGCAATACAATAGCCAATTAATACTGATTCCTGCATAGATTAGATGAAATGACGTCACTATAGATGATTTTAATACATACCTAAGATTGAGTGCATAGATATACAATTTACTTGTTGAACTGTTGGCACTATACTCAGACAGGATATGACGTCCATTCCATGTCCTCTTTGTCTATCTAACGTAGGTCAGACCCGAGCAGAGTAACACATTTAGCATTCAGCTATTATTACAGAAATGCTAATGAATATAGATTTGAGGAAAATATCTGAATTGATTCTATCTTCAAAAAATAAGCAATAACTCTTTGTAGGTCAGACCCGAGCAGAGTAACACATTTACCATTCAGCTATTATTACAGAAATGCTAATGAATATAGATTTGAGAAAAATATCTGAATAATTGATTCTATCTTCAAAAAATAAGCAATAACTCTTTGTAGGTTGTAGCTATTTAGTACATACATAACAAAAAACAAAACTGCCAACAATGCAGTTCGCCCGGACCCACGTGTAGAGAAGATACAGACATCCAGCGAAGCGAATATATGTCACAAACGGTTAAAAGGTTAATTTTATACAAAAACAGAATAGACAACAGTGCTCTCAAATTCTGAACATTCATGACATCACCGATGGCATATATTGATTGCTGCAGTTGCGTTTAGAGAATCGCAGTTTTGCGTAAATTAGTTGAGGAGCACCCTAAATCGTTTTTTTTAAACACGCTTTTATTAGCTTGGCCTGTATGTATGTATGTATGTGTGTATGTAGGTAAAACTTTTTTTATATGCGAATGTCTGTACGCCTTAAGTTGTACCTGCTTGTACTTTGTAAATCTCATGTTTGTTTTGTTTTTACTTTTAATTATGTGTACTATGTACCTCCCCCTTAGGACGAGTCTTATGTCATTTTATGATCTACAAGACAATAAATATATCTATCTATGTATCGGAATCTTTGAGCATAATTTGTACCAATTTCCAGAAGTTTGGTTATCCCTATTAGGACTGCCAGGATTGATAAATTCTTCCATAGACCCTCTGTAGGAAAGTAAGAGAGATAGACCTGGCGCGCGAACTGCTCATGCGTGCAGTTTCGGACTTACTCTTTGTTGGTTCGGGTACTCGACACAGCACAACGGAGGCAGATACTTTTTCAAGGTCGTGTATTCTCACCTTGTTCATTGCGAATGTTGCCATTAATCCTGCAAGGTTGTACAGTCGATCATGCAGTCATCTAGATTTGCGACTGTTTGCTGCTGGACAAGTTATGTAGCACTTAGTCGTGTAAGATCTTTAGACGGTATTCGGGTTGAATAAGTTGATTGCTCTAAGTTATCAGGAAAAACCTCAAGCAACAGTGAAGCTTTATATGAAATGATTAGATTACGAAATGACATTTCAATACCACATGTCCACAAAAAAATAATTGATAAATCGAACCAAAAAATGAAAAATAAATAAATAGTTTTACAAAACTAAAAAAACGCTTGTATAGCTAACCGAGTAGAAAATATGTTTTAATTACAACGAGTTAATATTAAATACAATAGTACATGGTGTAACAATCAATCATAATTAATGAACTTAAAATAAAATTATAATAAAATTTATGTTATTAACAGAATAATTCAATTCAGAGTAAAAAGCGTGAGGTGCTTGATATATTAAATGTTACAATTATTCTATCGGCAACTATCCATGAGAGAAAATATAGTAAAATGCACCCCATGCTTTTTACTCTGAAGTGAATTATTCTGTTAATAACTTAAATGTTATTATAATTTCATTTTGAGGTCATTCATTACGATTGTTCGATCATCTACTACTGTAATATAAACTTTTTGTAATTAAAAATTGTTTTCTACTTTTTAATTCGGTTAGCTATACAAGCGTGTTTTTTTTTTAGTTATTTAAACTAATATTTATATTTATATATCATCTGCAGCATTGTATTCTAAACAACAATAAAAAAAGGTACGGATATCGTTTATCCGCTTCCCCCGAAGCCGCTGATTTAGGAAATGTTTTGTATCAAAATTATGGATTCCATCCACTTGATCCTGAGAATGATATACAACTGGGATTGTAAAGGCATTTATTTTGCAGACTTAATAATTTCTTAGAAAATCTCAATTGACTGCCGAGTGGCCAAATAAACAGTCTGTTTTCCTACAAATGATTATATAAAGAAAGATGGAAGAATGCGTGCATGTACTTGGTTACGATGCCCATCTCATGATTGGTATGTAATCCTGGATATCCACTTTGCCCATGGTGTTCCCTCCCTCTGCTTCCATGTAGGAAGTCTATTGGATCTTGGAACTCCAAAGACACGCCCTTGGTTACTTGCCAACCTCTCGCGTTGTTACGTTGGATTTTAAGATTGGAAGATTAAACGAAAAGCTATATTTCCCTTATAATCTGAAAGTTTTCGTAGAATTTGTGACTGCATAGAGAATACTAGATAAATCGATTCAGTGTGCTAAGGCAAGTAGGCTAAAGCCCATATGGAAATGAGTATGGACACTTTGGTATCGTGACCTGTAATAGCAATAAGTGATATACTTTTGAATATGGATATCTTCAAATGAAAAGGGTTTTCTGACGGTAAGAAGCGCGTTGTCCATTTTGGAATTATATGCTGTACTAGATATTGATTTGTAGACCGATACCGGGTATGTATCAGACCAGGTGTTTGGAGAAGCTTAATATACAGAACACAAATATTTTATTTTGTCAACAAATATTACATGAGAACATACGGAGTATTAAAAATCCCGTTTTTACTGCTGAAGCCACTTGTCGAGGAAGTATTGTAATCCTGAAAAATTTCTAAAATGGGATATTTTGAGTTTTCCCATCATATGACATGTACATCACGAAAAACCATCTTACTTATTTCTGTAGGTCTGTCTGTGGTTGTGTCTGTCGGTCTGTCTGTGACCCCCTCCCCCCTGGTGAGATATGGTTCGATCCTCTCGCCAACCCCTTATCTCATGTTAGACTTCAAAATTTGTAGTTTTAGTGCGACAGTCTTGGATTTATTTAAACAACACAACTTGCATTTTTATTCTAGACTATTGAAGACATGCATATATCGTAGACTAAGATCAGAATGTTAACATTTAACAATAAAATTTTAAAATGGAAACTACTCAAATGGATAAATGAGTACTTATTCTAACTCAGTGCATGGAGACTCATCATGTACCGTCTCAAGAGTGACTATTGGAACCGACATATTCATGTGTTTTTGTTCAATAAAATCGTCAAGTCCATCAACTTGCTCTGATTCAGCTACTCTAAACCGTTGTCGCTTGCGTACAGAAGCTCAGTAACGTCTTGTGGCAATTGGTGAGGGTCTCACTTTGACATATTTTAGTCAAAAAGCATTACATAGATTTTATCCAATTTTCTTGCAGTTGCACACTGTTTCTTGCGGGAAAAATTAGGTGATCTTAGTCGAGACTCCCTCTTCGGGTACTGAGATAGTGTGTGATTCGGTTCGACCCTCTTCCCCCCATCCCCCCTGAACACCTCACGTAGTAAATGTACAGTATCCAAAATGTTCCCACAGTAATTGATTTTGATCATAAACCCTGCTATGCTGATTTTAACAAAAAACATTCCAGAGAGCGTTATTGATTTTTGAATTACTTCTAGGGTATTTTGAAAGTTTTCAAGGTCGCCTCTGGTTTTTCATGAAGCTGAGACACGTTTAATCGGACAATTTGAAATACACTTTTTGTGCGTTTTACACTTTTTGCGTATCTAGATTAATTTTTTTACAAAAAATAAAAACAACACAACTTTTCTAAACTATAAGAGGTTGTCGTTTTGAAGGCAAAAGCCACAGCAAACGTAAAAATTATGTTTTGTGTCAGTTGATGAAACAACAAAACCCAATCGATGAAAGTTCAGTCACGTGCCCCATCTGGATAAAACAACTTGAATCCGATTATACAAGGTGTCCCAGAAATAGCTCGCCAGAGTGACACGGGAGGTATATTGGCTTCAGATCAATCAGATAAACTCAACATGACCTTAGTAAAAGCTTTCTAATTTTCGAGATATTGCCACTTTTAAGTTTTTTCAAAAAATCACTTGTTTTGCTCCTTTTTTGCCTGTTAGCGCTATAAAGAACTTCTAGTTTATGGTTTTTTCCGGATTAGCAAGTAACCTCAAAAATTAGCTATCTCAATGCTCTTTCTAAAATAGTGTAAAATTTGTAGGTTATTTTTACTAAAAACTGAATAATTCCAAGTTTTGTCATTGAAGTCATAATACTAAAATAAAAAATGGAAAAATGGAAATAAAAAAATACACCCTGATGTTCTGTTCATTATTTTGATGCCTGCATAGAACAATGAATAAAAAAGGATAATGGATAGCTGTTTTAGACATTTGCTAAAATAAAAAGCGATTACAGCAACTACAAAGTTATAATTTGCACACAAAAGACAGCTGCACTCATTATTTTTCATTTGTAGTATTTCGTAAGTATTACGACTTCAATGACAAAAGATGGAATTATTCAGTTTTTAGTAAAAAGAACTTACAAATGTTGTACTATTTTTGAAAGAGCATGAAATAGCTAATTTTTAGGGTCATTTGCTGATTCAGTCTGGCAAATTTTTTTCACAGTAATTAGTCAAACTTTAGTAATGGTTTTCGCATTGAAACAAAATATAATAATTCAGTTTTTTAGCATACCGTGCTACTTTTCTATGAAATTAATACTTGGATGTCTCAACCAACCAGCCCTGAAAGAAGTTAAAACTTTTTTATACCCTTAACAGACAAAAAATGAGCAAAATGTTGGGCTTTTTTCAAAAAACTTAAAAGTGGCAATATTTTGAAAACTAGAAAACTTGTTCAAGGTCACCATGATTTTATCTGATTGATCTGAAGCCAATCTACCTGTCGTGCTATTACCTAGACAGACTGTATTATACACAATAATGAGAATGTTACGGAATAATGTAGAAATAAGTGCAACCACTTTAGTGTTGACAATGCTCCGAGCAATGCACATCTTCTTCTTATTTTATTTTTGCTTATCCTCTTTTTCGAAATAAGCTGACCAAAATCAATGTTATGACTGTCCTTGATAGCATCCTCTATTTTCTACAAAACTTCCATAAAGCTTGGTTCTTGCAAATACCAGTTTGTGTCACTAACCTTTGCCATATTGTTTTCAAGCATTAAATTAGGAATCTGAAAGTATGAGGATTACGTATCATATCCTCAAATACTTGAAACTGGTTAATATTTCCAAAACCCACGGTACAAAGCCAATAGATAAATAAAGAAGACTTCAGAGTGAAAATTTTCCTAATATCTAAAGCAACGACAACAACAAACCGTTAGTTGATGAGGGGACATGACATTAAGTTCTGACAGCAAAATGCTTTGTACTTTTTAAGGTACTTGTATAGACACCGCTATAACCTTCTTTTTTTTATATACTCCAACTACCACGAAGGTCTAAGGCCTAAGCACCCATTGAGTACCGTGGGGCTATAGGGGGATACATGGGAAAGGGGGGGACGCGACACGGACTCTGGCGAGGGAACACGTGTGCATGCAACATGCACACATTCTGGATCCGCCTACGAGAACCGCCGGGTGGTACCTCCGCGTTCGACAGTCAGAGACCATCTACCACCTGCGGACAATCACAACATCCATAGCCAAGAGAAAAATTTCTAATGGGACGGGACTCGAACCCGCACAGCGCACGGCGACTGATCAGGAGACCGAAGAGTCTACTACTGCGGCCACCGCTGCTGCCTTAATTCTGTTATTAAAATAAAAATAACTCTGAAAGCATACTTTTCTTTTTAAAATTCTGTAATTGCAGAGATACATCCAAGCCTCCTATTTAACAAAATCAATAATAAAATTCAACATGAATACAGTAAAAATTTCTTATGCTCAGCTAACCATGAACAAAACTCGGTAAAAAGGAACCTTTATATTTTTATTTCAACGGTTTTAGCGCAGGGTTGTTATTTTCTTTGTTGCATTTTTAAGGGATATTAAGAATCCATGAGCGAAGTCAATGGTATCAAGCTTCTCTTAACTTGAGCTTTGTAATGTTTTCACAGAGGTAATTGTAGATATTGTAACAAGTATGTAAGAGAAAATGCAATATGTCTAATTCTTAACTCGAGAACACTTCTCACGCAAGGCTGTCATCAGTTCCTAAAACAAACTACGACATTTTCGTATCTGGGGGGACTTAAGGACGGATCCGGCCTTTTAGCGAGGTGCACCGTGCTGCATTATATACGGAAGAACCTATTAGGCCATGGGATTCTAGAGGGGGACTGAGCCTCGAGACCCCCCTGAATACGCTAGTGAACTACGAAC